CTCAATTGAATGGACGCAAAAAAAAAAAATAACGATAGGTTTTATTTTAAAAGCAATAATTAATCAAAACTTACAAATGACAACAGATCGTGTTTACTACACCCATGATCGGCTGGTCATGACAGGTGCACATGACCTGTCTGCTCAGCTGGGACCACATGATGGACTCATAACACCTACACTACTTTTCCTTTGCTGTTGCCGATCACTGTAGCTACACCCCCTTTAATCTCAGATACACTCTAAGTCATTTTGTTCTAAGATGGAATGGAAATGAGGCCTGAGATATCAATAATAATAATACTTTAATTGTAAGGCACTTTTCAAGACAGATACACAAAGTGCTTTGCAGAATATGACAATACAGCAATCTTAAGATTTGTCCTCAAACAGATAACATCAAATCTAAAAGTCAGCTAGAAGAGTAAAAGTGTTTCTCAGTCGGCGACGGATACAAAGATAACCCTCCTACAGCTCAAAATCAGTGTGGTGCAGTGTATCAACTGGAGCTCTACTGAATATAAGCACAACAACAAAACAATAAATCAAAGTAAGAGGTAGGCATCGAAGGTTTATTGGAACATCTTCAACTGTGAGAAGTGAATCTTCATAGTCATTGTACTGTCCCTGCTGAGGTGTCGTAACTTCAACTAGACAGCCAGCCAAACTCCATATAAAACGACACCGGAGTCAGGATGTAGCATTTCAGCTCCTTAATTTATTCCAGACTCACTGTGCATGTGGTTAAGAATCAGGAGTGAAACTGAAAATATAGATTGGTACAACACAATTAACAAGATGTCCTTTATACAAAGATAATTTGTAATCATCAAAATAATAAACAAGGTAACTACTTTTATGCTTGTAGTTGTGTCTTAATTGTTTAAATGACATGCATTAATGTATGCAAATGTAATAATATAACAAAAGATACTTTTCAATATCTTAAAGGTGAACGCAATGCCTCTGCTGGAGAAACAACTGGATGGCACTGCATTTACTCTTGAGCTCCTGCCACAGATTCTAGCCCTCTACTAGACCATGGCCCTTTCCGAATTGTCACAGTTCAGTATGCAGTTCGTACTATTCAGTATGGAGTTTCAGTATACTGAACTTTCATGGTCATTCAGTATGCATTTTTTGGGTCCACGCTGTATACTGAACTTTTCAGTATGGATACTAACTTCCGGGTTTTATGCAGTATGGATCGGATGTGTGCTTTCAGGAAATGAATTGTGTTTTACCACCCACAATGCTGTGCGAAATTAAATGTAAATCGTCACGTTACGTGCGCCTCCAAATCAAAACAAACGAGCGTGGATTCATTTAATCAATTCTTAATCTAGAATTAAAGTCCCGACTGAAATCACTACTTTTAATTAACAACAGACAATATAACAAATATCTGCATTATTATAAAACCTTTCCCCCTCTATTTAAATAATGATTTAACTATTTAAATGCGTCTTTATTGGTTTATTTTATATTCTGTGTATTACTGTCTTTCATTTGTACTTTCCTTTATGTACTGTATTATTTAGTTATTTAATCTGCCTTTTACTTGATTTACATTGTGATATATGATACTGTATATGCACATTACTCTTCTTGAATAAAGCTAAACAAAAAAAAAAAAAAAAAAAAAAAAACGGGTGGATGCGGCCGGTTTGGGAAACGTAAATGACGTTACTTCCATACTGCATACTAAAACTTCCTACTTCCTGTTCCTAAAGGAAGTGATGCAAAACCCCCCTATACAGTAGGGGGCTAAATTACAGAAAAACTGAATATTTATAAAACATAGAAATAGCCTGGAAGGCAAAACAGTCATTGTTTTACATCTGTATTTTCATGCCTGAGAGAAAAGGTCTCCTGGGAGAGAGAGTTGAGAAGATCAGAGTTTTGAGATAAACATTCAACCTTTTTTTCCAGGCGCAACGTCAACCTCTCTCTTTTAAATGCATCGTTAGGAGCCGAGACTACTTATGGAGACAAACTTTATTTATCTTTACTGCCTGTGATGGCGAAAAACACTCATTCAAGCAGCGACGGAACAAGCAGAGCAAAAAGATTGTTCTCCAATTTTCAATCTGAGACCGGCAGTTTCAGGCTCTCAGGGGAAGCCTGAAATCTATTCCTTATATTCCAACTCCCTTTCTCCTCCGTCTGTGCAAAGTCACAACACTTCTTTTATTTGCACACACCAAGGTCAAGATTATACAAATATTAAAGGTGTGCAAGGAGAGTGGACGCCAACAGGCTTATACAAAGGGATCCTTTCTTAATAGATATAATTTAAAAACACACAATATTAATTTTAGTATGATACCTTCCACTCGTTGAGAGTGAAGTAGTCAGCCTCTCTCTCTCACTGATGCAACTTTAAGAGTGTAGAGTCACCTGTTGCAGGTAAAATCTCTATTCATTTATAATCATCTCTACAGGTTATCGTATGATCATACAACCAACCCCCTTGAGTTCTTTCACCTTTAATAGTAGATCAGATCAAACAGCACATCCAAACATTTACAAATGATTTTACTTTAAATACTGTACTGGCTTGTTGGTAAAAACATTTCCACCCAAGAATGTGTAAAAACAGTTGTCTTTCTTTTGCTGCATTTACCATTTATCTCAGTATTTTCAGATGAAATAAACTTAAAATACAAAACTTAAATCAAATAAATTACACATTTAATGAGGTGATCTTACTGGTAAAACACACACTTCAAAAAAGATCTGTGAGACAATGTCCAAATATTTCTCGGCAGCTTTCAGAAAACTCCCGGCCTCAGCGTAGTGCTTACACATCTTTACAAAGTCTTTTTCTCAGTCTATGGACCCTTGAAGGGGGCTGTTCACACCAAAGTATAAATTAACTTACAGCAAACACACAGTCTTGATTTAGTTCAGTCATTTTTATCTTATCCATACTTACCTCTGTTTCCCATGTGGTCCCATGCAGCTAAAAGAGGCTAATCCAGCACTTCCTGGGTATTTATCAGATTGATGATGTCATCGCTGACATCACTGGGCAGACTATCTGAAAGGGTTTTTATTTCTGAGAAATGTTTTCTTTCTAATCATTTCTTTCATGGTTAAGTTACTGGGAGAATGTAATTTAATTATTTGAAGTTCATTTAGTTGAGTTGATGATCTGAGGTTAGTTTAAGGGTTTATTTAGATTTATTTGCTTTAAGAGAAAAGTGTAAACCCAGTTGTGCTGCACCCAGTGGCAGCCATTTTGTTAATGGGGCCGTCTATAAAGCCATGAGGCATTTGTTTTTACATGAGGAGAGGTGAGTACATGCTGCCTTTAACATGTGTCTTAGTCTGATTTAATCATGACTTAAGTTGCCTTATTTACATTGAACTTTTGTTGTTTTGTTAAGTTAACATGTCTTGGTTCAATCACTGTAAATAAATACTTACCTCTTAGAAAAACATCATCTGCTGAGTTGCCTTTCTACCGCCTTTCTTGAAATTTATGCTAACTACTTTACAAACATTGAGATTGACATTTCTTTCCAACTCCGTGAAATGTCGATGTGGAGTGACGTTGAGCTTCTCATGAACGAGGATACTAACACTGTCCGTCTCAAAATCTTCACTGCCACTAAGGTAATGCATGTCAATATTTACATGACTTGTAGTGAGACTTTATGGGGCACATTTCCCCTCTGAGTTTAAAAAAAATACTTCTGTAGTACAATACAAATGTTTTATTTACTTTACTCTACATACTCTTTTAATCCCCCTGTGAAATTGTGAGATACTCCTCACACAGATGGGACGGAATTAGGGCTTCAGGTGAGATCTATTTGTAATAGATTTGATTTCCAGGAGAATCCTGGGAGAACAAATATTGTTGAACATGACATTGTTGTTAGAGAAAGTGTCTCTGTGAGAAGATTAAGTTACAGGATCCCTGAGGGCCTGTCGGCCTCACTGAGGAGGGAGGTTGACCTGATGCTGTCCCTGGGATCATCGAGTGGTGTAACCTAATGATGCTCGTACCAAAGAAGGATGGAAGCATAAACTTCTTCTTTGATTTCACGTACCTGAATTCAATTCTCGACAGTTCACAGTAATGCCATTTGGGTTGCATGGCTCTGCAGCAACTTTCCAGAGAGTCATGGACCAGGTACTGTGTGATTTCTCTGGTTTTGCTGCAGAATATCTGGATGACATTGTCATTTACAGTAACACGTGGCGGGAACACCTGCAAGCTGTCTTGGATTGCTTCATTCTTCCAGGCTGACTGTCAAAAAAGTCCACTTTAACAATATGAACACTAGTGTGCCGATTTGTAATTGTGAAAATGTTGGGGTTTTTTCAGGTACAGGCAGATCCCAGTCTCTCCTACTCCAGTGGTTTAAACTGTAGTATTGTTGTTGCTGATAAGACGGTTAACCTGTTTTGATCAGAGTTATCAAACCATACTGCTTCATTTTGGTCATCTCAGTAAGTTGTCTGTGTCTGTGACTCGCTGTTTGGGCCCACTGTCAGGGGCCTGTATCAGAAAAAGGTTCAACAAATTCTCAGCTGTTTTTGAAACATTTACTATACTTAAGTACGTACTAATTTCTCTGGCCCACAATTCTGTAGATCATGAGACCAGTCTTCTCGCTGACTGTTTCCCACAATTCAAAGCACCAGGTCAAAGATCGAAAAGACGGACAGCAACGGCTATCTTTCAGAGAAAATAAATGCATAAAGCCGATAATTTCACCAGATATCACAATCTTTCCTCCTCTGTATACCTATTGAAAAAATACTTTTCTTGAAAATAATTAGTTTAACTGATTCTATAGGTTTCTGTTAATGACGACTCATGAGTCACTTACTTTGCATTTCAGAAACTGATATGGACGTCATTGATGTTTGCCTGTACGGACAGTTTCTGGTGGAAAAAAAATGGAAACCTTCATTTGATCGAGTATGTCTCTATGATGGCAAGAGCCACAAAGGGGTAATATCACTCGCGTCATTAGTTGTCACCAGCACATGCTTATTTAGCAGTCAACAATACAAACAGCTTACAAACTTAATTTGCTTTATTATGAGCTTATTTTTTCGTTTAGATTAAGTGGCCGAGTTTAAGAATTCCTTTTCTATTAAAATGCAAAACATTGAAGTTAATGGAACCAATCTTGGGGCCTTGCTCGACTCTGGGAGTGATTAGACACTGGTACACAGGAAATACCACCCAACATTGTCAGCAACAGTGACACCATCCCATCTGTTGTGTTCATGGAGACAAGAAGCCTTATCCAACAGCATGTATGGTAGAAGGGCAGACTTGCGTTTTGAACATTGAGGTTTCTGATAATCTGCCTTTTGATGCTGTTCTAGAAAGAGACCTACCAGTTCTTTTTGATTTGTTGGAGCCAGAACAAAGCAGAAAGTGTAGCGCTGTGGTAACCAGAATGCAATCCAGTGAGCCCTCTGCAATTCTCAGGGCCCTGCCCTTTTTCAATGAGGAGGTTGGAGACCACACCTGGGAAGTCTTGGGAAAACCCACAGACAGAGAAGGCTGGAGAAATTCCAAAAGACAGTGGTGACAACGTCAACCAGCACTGAGCCACTAGGGTTTCAAGTTCCAGGTAATAGAAGTGATATGTAGAAAACTGATCAATCTTTCGTCTCTCTTTTCCAGAAGGAGAAGGAGCCGGAGGCTGAGCTGGACATCATAAATGATGAGTATATCGTGCAAAATGGCATCCTCTATCGTCAGCGTTGCAGCTTGTGGTTCCCCAAGCAACTAGAAACACTGGCCTGGCCTGCGCAGAGATGTTGCTTAGTTCTGTGAAAGTTGTCCTCAGTGCCAAATAACATCTGCTAAAACAACCCCCAGGGCTCCACTTCCACCGCTACCAATTATTGGCAGCCCATTTGAGCACCTTGGGGTGGACATTGTTGGTCCTGTTGAGAGAAGCAAAGCAGGAAACTGTTATATGCTGGTTATAACAGACTATGCTATCAAGTATCCAGAAGTCTTTCCACTAAAATCCATACCTCTGTTTGGTACAATTCTTCTTTTGGACATGAAGTGAAGGGCTGTAGGCAATGTTGAGAGCTCTGGGAGGGTGGGATCTGTTAATGTTGTATCTATGTCATCCAGATCAGAGAGCGGCTGGAGAAAATGGGTGAGCTGGCCCAATTGCACATGTGCGGACGCCCTGCAGCAACAGAAGTCCTAGTACGACAAGTCAGCCAGACAGAGATCCTTTGACCCAGGACAGGAAGTGCTGGTGCTCCTACTTGGTGATGACAACATACGTTGGCTAAATGGCAAGGACCGTTCCACATCCTAAAGAAACTTGGGTCAACTACATACCAGGTATAAACACCAGGGCACTCACGCTCCAGTAGGGTACTACACATAAATCTCTTTAAGAGAGTGGGTGTAGTGACCTGGAAGGGGGGGGGGAATAGATATGATGCTACTAAGTGTGCTGGATGAAGAAGAGGTGGATGCACAATACTTACCTCTCTAGTGACCTCTCAGACGGCCCAAGGTTTCAGGTGAGAGCCACCTGTAATTCAGAAGTTTTCAAGGACAATCCTGGGGGAACAAATATTGTTAAACATGACATTGTTGTTAAAGAAGGTGCTCTTGTGAGAAGTTACAGGATCCCCGAGGGCCTGTTGGCCTCACTGAGGAGGGAGGTTATCCTGATGCTGTTCCTGGGATCATTGAGTGGTGTAACCTAATGATGCTCCTACCAAAGAAGGATGGAAGCATAAGCATCTGCATTGATTTCAGGTACCTGAAATGCATTTCTTCATTTGATTCCTATCCAACACCAAGAATTGATTAACTGCTTGAAAGCCTTCAGGACACCATGGGGCCCTTTCCAGTTCACAGTAATGCCATTTGGGTTGCACGGCGCTCCAGCAACTTTCCGGAGACTCATGGACCAGGTACTTTGTGATTTCTCTGGTTTTGCTGGAGCATATATGAATGACATTATCATTTCCAGTAACATGTGGCAGAAACACCTGTAAGCTTGTCTTTGATCACTTTCATTCTGCCTGGGTGACTGTCAACCCATCGAAGTGCGTCTTTGTTGCTGCAGAGATTAGTACCTGGGCCACGTCATCAGCAATGGGGTTGTGCATCCTCAGGTCAACAAAACCCAGGCCATAGAGTCCTGTCCCCTGCCACGAACAACGCAGCGCCGATCCTTTTTGTACTATCCGGCTTCATCATCGCTTCATACCGCATTTCTCCAACAGGGCAGCTCTACTCACAGACTTGACTAGATCCCGGAGGCCCAATCAGATCCAGTGGACAGAGCAGGCAGTGGCAGCTTTCAGTGATATCCAGCAATCACAAAGTAAGCAACCTGTTCTGTACAGCCCAAACTTTCATGAACATTTTCTTTTGCAAACTGATGCTTCTGACAGGGGTTTGGGAGCTGTGTTACTCCAGGACCTCTGAATGATTGGCATCCAGTCGCCTACATCAGCTGGAAACTGTTCCCCAGAGAGGTTCGGTATTCGGCGGTGGTGAAGGAGGCACTGGCTATTAAGTGGGCCATTGATTCCTTCCGATACTAACATCTTGGTTGAGCGTTCACCCTGGAGACAGATCACAAGGCCTGTTTGGTTTGTACATTTGGTTTTCTTTTTTTTTTTTTTTGGGAAAAATAAAAACCCACCTTTTCTTGAAACTTGTCTTGTGCCTCACTGCTTATTCCCTAACAGTCCCCCACAAGAGAATCCTTCTCACCAGGATTGACAAGTGTAGCCTGTCAGGCCATGAAATGTTTGCCTGATTTCACCTATGGCTTTGATGATGTCACCAGTTGTAATCATTCCATTAAGATGTGGGTTCTTCTTTTTTAGGCTTTGGTAGAGAAACTATCCAGTGGTGATAAGCAAACGTACCACGAGCTCCTCACACCGAAATACGAGGGTTTTGAAGGTAAACTTTTTATGATTCTGAGAAAACTCTGCATGGCTCCTTTTTTTTTTTTTTTTTTTTTTTTTTTTTTTATTGGTACAATGTAACACGGGGAATTCAGAATCATGTCTTTCTGTGTTTCAGGATTATTCTCTGAATGGTATTATGTTTTTATCAACAAGGATATACAATGCGTTTCTACTCAAAGGATGGGTTTTTCCACATTTCAATTCATGCAAGGGCAAAGGTCGAGACAGGTATCAAAGATTTTATTTTTTTAATCGAAGCCTCATTGTTGACCAAATTAAACATTAATTCCTGTCATCATAGATGTAGGATCTTTGAAAGAGGTTAGTTGAGACCTTCTTCTGTTAGTGTGCTCATTTTTATTTTATGATAAGCAGAATTTTAATCCCACCTCTCCACACACTCAGCTCCAGTCTCAATTAAAGAAACTTCTGCTCGTCCAAGGTTTACCACGATGACGGCTGCAGTACAGTGACTGTTCAGTCTGGGTCATGGAATCCACCTGGTGATCGGGGTCAGTGTCTTTTACCGCCTGTAATTATGATACATTGGGTAAAAGTGAGTTACTGTGTTATTACGGCGCTTGAAAGAAAATCACACATTTTCTATACCGCTGTTGGGGTTGTATCAAGTCAACTTTGGTTATATTCTTTAATAATTATACTTCATAATATAAATAAAATATCATTAAACTATGTTTAATCTTGTTTTGGGGCACCAACCTGTAATCGGGTAAATATAACCCAAATGTCACTCAAATTAGTTATTTAATTACTAATATTATTAACTATATTTAATAAATTGAAGGCGTGAAATCCGTACACAAAGCCTTCGCACCCAGTTTATATCACAATGCAAATACACCAGTAATCACAAACAACTGCTCTCTTAAATTATAACAGACTTTATTTAAACAAAGCAACACCAATCCAAAATCAATGAACTTAATTAAACAAATAACTATCATAAACTAATCTAAGCAACAAACGTGTGTGTGTGTGTGTGTACGATGGCGCACACCTAACAAAGACCTGTGTGTATGAGAGAGAAGGAGGGGAAGATTACTTCGTCCCACGTGGTCGCCCTTCCGATGGCGCACACCTAACAAAGCCCTAAATGTGGCCTTAAGGTCTAAAAGAGACCGAGTTCGGCCCTACACGATCTGTGTCTCTGAGGCGTCTGGATGGCTGCGAGTGTATAGATCTCTGTGTGTGGCCTACGTGCGTAATGGCGCGGTGGTGGAGTTAGTCCATTGTGGACCTAGTCTGGAAATTGGTCTGGTAGCTGGAGATGTGCCGTTTCCCTTCCTGAGTCTTGCCAAAGTGTGCTTGAGCAAGGCACCAAAACCCCAACTGCTTGGGCACTCTTTCATGTGCAGGCCCTCACTCTAACATCTCTGCATTAGTGTGTGTATTTCAGCCTGTGTGTAGCATGTCTCAATAATGGAGTGAAAAAGTAATTTCTCCCTGTGGGATTAATAAAAGATATCTTCTTACAATGTTTGTCTCTGATAAACATATTAGAAACTGTATACATATTCCTCAAATTAACACATGTAAGCCACATTAATGTGTATTCCAACTAAAAGTAAAACCAAGTTTTGATAAAGGAGGAATGTGCAACATTTTACACACAAATACAGCAGAAATCAAGTATATCCTCTGTAAATGTCTCTGATCATGACTGTCTACAATGAGTGAAAAGCATGAGTCCCACCAGCTGTACTGTTGTGAGAACAGTGTTTACATGGACGGGAGGACCTTGTGTATAATGCTTTTTTACTCGAGGACTATAAAAGCAGAATAACATACTCACTGCTTATTTGGATGTCACGTAGGTGTCTTTAGGTCACGATCATTCTGTGTCAATCTATGTTTAATGTGAAGCTATGAGTTAACCGAGTGTGCTAGCATTAGCCTGCTAACACAACAATGCTGGCCACAGGTTATTGGAGCTCCAGCAAAGGACAAATTTGTCTGTCACTTGCTGTCCGTCAAATGGTGCTTAATCATGGTGCGTTCTAATTGATAACTCCTTCCTGTGAGTGGAGAGGGGTTGGAGGTGTGCCTCTGGAGGAAAGCGGAGGCTTCAGAATAGTGTAGGTGTGGCCAAACAGTTAATTTCAGAAGGACTGCTCCAGAGATTCTCCTGACCTGGCTGTAAACATATGCTCCTCACAGGGGGAGACTATCCCTGTCAGAAGGGAGGGCGGGCTGGGGTCTCCAGAGGTAAGATAAGACAGGGGAAAAAAAACAACGCTGCAGTAGCTGACGGAGTCCGCTGTACTATGCTATAATAAGAATCCTTGTTATCCTGAGTTTTTCAGGAGTTTTCTGCAAGTGTGAAAGCCTTATGTCTTGTTTATTGCTCCATTTTTGTTTTGGGGTTTAATTGAGACCTTTATTTTTGTGTATTGTTGGGCTTTGTACATTATGTAAAGCACTTTGTAGCGTTGGTGTTTGATAAGTGCTTTGTATACAAACTTTTTGATTAACTAATAGAAACAGTTGGACTAAGTTAAAAGGCCTGTTGGAAAAGATTGTGTGACGATTGTTTAATATTTTCTCTCTCTATGTTTGCTTTCAAGGAGTGACGGTGGTGGTGGAAAATCTCCTGTATGTTGACAGTGAGGTGAGTTCTGTGCTCTTAATTGAAGCTGTGATACACATCTGGACAAGTATTTGAGCCTCTTTGTTGTTTTCTTTTCGTCTGGGTAAGGACACTGAGTCTTTCCTGGTCATGATTCACTGCTGGTCAGATCTCCTGTCTCGTCCAGACAAAAATAAGCATGGTAAGCAATCAACATTTATTACAGTGGTAAGTGGATCTTGCATACATTAAATGTAAAGATTTCTTCACATTTAAGTAACATATTTTACTCGTGATTTTGCACACCAAGACGCCGTAGTGCCAACATGCTCGTCCTCAGTTGGCTCGAAACATCACTTCATAAATCCTTCAAACGGGAGCTTCTTGTTGTGCAGATCTTATTTTTACTTTCCTTGCCTGCTCAATACTCCAGAATGTGATTAAAAGTTAACATACTGAGCGGTTTTTGTTTTGTTTCTCAACAATAGTCGAAGAGAGCCTATTTCTTCTGTCATCGTCGGATGCTTCACAGAGGGATTGCCCGAGAACAGTTACTTAACTTTATTTGGATGCATTTTTGTTTCTTCCGTTTTGTAAACTACTCTTTATTAATATTTTGTGTTCACACTGTATTATAAAATGCCCATTGTTTCACAAATGCTCAACTTCTCTCTCCAGATGCAATCATAAAACCATCCCCTGCAATCCCTGGGCCGTCTGTGACAATTTCTGCTCCCTGCCCTGTTTGATATTGTTAGTTCTGTTACACTCGTTGTTTTTATAAAATAAATATTAGTTATTCATGTTTGTTTGAAGTATTTTTTATTTTTAAAAGTTCTGTTAAATATAAAGATGTATGCCAGTTTTCTCTAAGTCTATGAATATTGTCTTCGGTGGTCAAACTGTCTGCAATATAAGGGTCAACCAAAATTGTTATGGCCAGCTCTGTGTCTACAACTTAAAGTTCATATTATGCAAAATACACTTTATCATGATTTTCTTACTCTAATATGGGTCCCTAGTCTGTCTACAAACCCCCCAGTTATTAGAAAAGTAAATCCTCTTCTTTTGCCTGCTCCACAGGGGTTACTGCAGCTAGGTGTTTGTTCTGCCTTCTCACAGTAAAAAATTGGGCAAAGAGTCACATTGTCTTTCAGAGAGGGTCAGCTACAGACACAGAAACAGATTGTTCTGAGCAGATAAGCTAATATCCGCAGATATTATCGGCTGGCTGATTTATCGGTCAAGCTCTGGATGATAGTGCAGCCTTTGCATGCAACTGACATACAACCACATAGTCTAGTCCGAACCAATCACAGTTAAATGTACACATGCTGAATGAAAGCATTGCTTGTCTGCATAAATAAAATTTTCTTGCGATGAATTCTGACTATAGCGATGTGATTGTGGCAAATCCTTTCATTCGGATAATGATGTAACTGCACTTACTTGCACAGGCCTATAGCCTACCCTGACCTTTCTTTTAATTTAGTTCTTTTTAAGGAGGATAATTATGATTCCAAAGAGGTGGAGAATCTCAAGTCCCTGGTGTCTCGCATCCGTCAGCTCCTGGACCTGCACAAGAAATACGACTGGAGACTTTCCCTTTTAGTCTATGAGAAGGTGTGTCTTTCATGAAAAACCCATTTTACGATCTAGAAGTGTACGACGGAGGATTAGGGCCACACAAAAAAGAAAAATCTGAAATTAGATTAAACTCATAAATGTACAAGATTAAAGTCGTAAATTTACGAGATTTAACTAATAAATTTAACGAGGTCCAAATCCTCAGAAGTGTATAAGATTCAAACAAATCAGAAAATTTCACAGCAAGGGCTGAAATATTGATACAATAAATACAAACATATTTAGTACCACGTTTAGTTTACAAGTTTAATTTTAAGTCATAGACGATGCTTTGTGGTGGTGTATCATGAATTAAACTGTGTTGGAATATATCTTTGCTGCCTCGTCCGTCTTATATGTTAATCACTGATGTTTTTCCGACGGCATTTTAAGCTGGTTTTGGCTGTAATATTCTAATTGAATTGACTTTGACAGGAAAGTGTTTGGAGTTCTTCATGATTCTCGCCGCCACAGTGGAAAGCAGTATCCTGCCTCGTGATGAGCTTCTTCTACAGTATATCAAGGTAAGACAACACCACTGCTGGAACATTAACCCTTGTGCCCTCCTCAAATTTATTCATATATTTCTGCTGTGAAGTTACAATAACTTCCAACTTGCTTAAAACTACCAAACATTCAATTATTTTCAGGATCATAACCCTTTAAATGCTAGTTTATTAGTTAAATAGTGATTAGAGTCTTGCAAAAGACTTTAGTTGATTTGCTTTGTGGCCAAAATGTACATACAAAACCTGCAATAAAATTATACATTTTTGTATAATTTGCTGTTTTTTTCCCTGATTTCGTTTCTGCTCTTTTTATGGTTTTTGACAAGAGGGAAAGATCTCGTGCGAGAGTTCTCCCAGCCCCCGGTCTCAGGGGTGTGTGAGAGACAGGGCGGCTGCGGGAGAAATCTCACGGAAAACTTTAAATAATTTTTATATTATTATGATAATAAAAATGAATAAGTAACATCAGGTTATAGCAATGATTATAATATTCTTCCACAACATCATCATTCGCATCCTCATTATTATTGTCATCATCATCATAACTACCAGCAACAACATGCACACAAATGAAGTAGTAGAGGACCCGCGCTTCACATATTTTCAAAAAAATGCTTAAGCCTTGTGACGATGTTCCATCCCTTGTGCAGATTAGCACAAATAACAGCTGTGCCCTCTGTTGCACTAACAACAGATGTCTCTGCGAGCAAGGAGGGTTCGACAGAGTTTGCCATTTTTAAGTTAATATGAATCACTTTTCAAAGTTGGAAAACTTTCAGTTAGTTGAGGTGACATAAACAATTCATTTTAATAGACTCGAAGTAAAACTAACTTTTTGTTTTCAGTGTATATATTACTTCAAAGTCAACAGATAACTTAAAAATAATCATTTTAAATTCAGGTAGAGCAGTAAAATAAAATAGCTCTGGAAACAAAGCATAAAACATTAAAGTTAAAAAACACCTCTAAATGGAAGCGTGAGATTGACAGATGCTCGTCACCAGCAGCACGTATATCTTCATCCTGATACTCTCTGGAGACCTTTCCCCCTGAGATTTTACACACTATTTAAGTCATTTTCTTTTCTTCATGTAATACGCAGCGTTCAGCTGTTATTGCCGTCGCTGTCCGTTATGTTAGCCTTCAGCCGCTCAGAAGACATGCTGGAGTCCCGATCATTCTTCAGCATGCTTTAGCTAGCTTAAAGGAATCCATCACAAGGGGCAACCTCCGGTCTCGAAAAATGAAGCCAATGCGGAAGTACAAAAAACTGCAGTTCCTCGAGGTTCCGCTTGAGGCTGGCTGCAGAAGCACCGGAAGTGCCATAAGCCCACAGCCAAAAAAGCCCGTTTTTACCACAGGAATCAACATGTTTACAGCCTGGTCCAAAAAACGAGATATATCTGAGAAGTTGACGGCCCCTTCTCCTCACACTGTGGGGGGGGTGAATTTTTTTATAACTCATCGGATTTTATTCTATTAAGGAAAACGACTATGCCCATATAAGGGTTGTGGCAGATTTGATTGACAGCTCTGTGCGGTCAGCAGGTCAGGAGGCTAACAGCTTGATCCGTCTGATTTCTCCTCTTTCTTACTTCGTTTGGAGAGTTTGTTTAACACATATCTGACAACATACATGGCTTGCTGTGCAGTTAACAGGCCATCCAACAAGTTGATGCTTCAGTTTTTTTTCGGTAAGTGATATAGCAGTGTTATATTTACTGCTTACTCATGTGTCGGTATTTATATTTACGGACCTAGCTTGTTTAACTGTTAACTGTACTCAGTGTAGCTCATTATTTACGGTCAATGGTTTCAAAATGTTTGTTGTTGAAAATAATGAGTTTGTGTGATGTTAGAAGCTAAAGGTTCACTTCAGCCTCCTCGTAAGATTTGTTTGTGAGATTTGTGAGATTTGTTCAAGAAGCTCAAAGTGTGGCTCCCTCCTGCTCAGAGAACTCCTCAGTGCTCCTCAGTCCATCACCATGCTGTCAACTCACTCCTGATGGTTTCCTGTTCAGCACAACATCAGTGAGCTCTGACACAAAGGTGGACAAGTCCTCCCATGAGTCCTCCAGCTTCAGTTTGTCCTTCTAATGTTCCTCATCAGTCAGTAGTTCTCCTTTAAGGCTGCACAGAGAAAAACTCATCCTCGTCTTTCTCTGACTACAACCTCTCTGAGATGACGTTAGCTCCTCCTGAAATCTTCTTCACATCCGACCTGCAGTCCTTCTGCTCTGCTGAAACATGTCTGCTGATCGTCCTCCTCCTCTGCTGAGAGCTGCTTTTTAAAAGTCTGCCGGCCTCCTGCTCCTCAGTCGTCTAAATGTCTGTCGCCTCCTAACATCTCTTCGACCACAGAACAGCTGAGCTCTTTCTCATCTGCTGTCGTGCTGACAGAAACCCTCTCAGGTTTGGTTTCAAGCAAGAAACAAAGTTTGAACAAACAAACGCACCAAAACAAAGCTGCATGTCTCTGCTTCACCTGCGCCTCGTCTGCTCCAAAATGAGAGTGTATAAAAAAACGGGCCATGGCATGATGTGACAGTTTGACGCTGATCTTCTGCTGAGAACATCGTAGGAAAAGTCCTGCCTCCTGCTCCTCACATCCCTGAAAGCTTCCTGATCCCTGATCCCTAAGTTGATTTAGACCTAAAATGATCTCACAAAACTTAAACTAGTTGTTGAAGCTGCTTTCCTGTTGTTGTCTCCCTCCTCACTGTCTGAATGTTGAAATCTTCTCTGAGAAAAAGTAACAAGTTGCTCTCACAGCCTCAGAGATCACATACAAAACTAAAAAAAATAAAAACAATCTGCTGTGTTTAAAGCCAGCTGATAATTCCTGTAAGTGTGTGAAGCTGCAGTCCTTCCTGGTGCACACACTAAGAACTCTGCTCGAGTTGAAAAGTCCTGAAAACTCTAAAAGTCTCTATCAAATTGCCGATGTTACCATGGTGATGATCAAGGTCATCGTCAGAGACAAGCAGACGTCCTGCAGGAGGAGAACAAGAGTCACCTCTTCTAACACTTTCTCCTGCAGCTGAGAGAGAATCCGTCCTCAGGGAGACAGCTCTTATTTGAACAATGAAACAACAAAAATCAATAAATAAAAAAACAACAGTTTGATTGCACAGTTGAGTATTTTTGTTCTTATTGTTGCTCCTCATGTTGAACTGTCAGAGTGAAGCTTCTCTGGACGCTGTCAGTGACCAAACACCAAACTTCACTGAGTATTTCTACATCTTTATTTCTAACATGTGAAACCAGAAACAGGTTCTCTTATTCTGCTCGGGGGGAAAAGAAAGAAGAGTAACAGGGGGAGGAGCTCACTGACATTATCACCAGTTACACACTAGAAGGTCAAAGGTCAAAAACAAACAGGCTTTGTACCAAAGTGTTTCACAGCGAGCATGAACCGAAATGAAGATTTCATGGAAGTGAAAGAGTCTGTAATGTTATGACATCCGACGTTTCACTAAAGAAACAGTTTTCTCCTCTAAAAGGTGAAGAGGTCAAACTAACCTCTGTCTTTATCATCAACTAAACAAAGATGAACTTTTAATTTGTGGTTAAAACTCATTTAAAATCAGACAAAGACAAAAAAGGCCACTCATTGAACCGGGAAGATTAGACATGTGGTGCACTCTGCAGCCTCTAGGAGGCGACAGTACACTGTAACTGGTAACAACAGAGTCTTTCTTTTAAAATGTTCATCCCTCCATTAGCAGGGTAACACCTGTATCATGAATAAAGGTTCAGACTTATAAACGAAGGGTGTTTTCGTGTTTTTATGCCTTTTATTTAGAGATAGGAGCGAGGGAACCGGGTACAGCATGCAGGAAAGGAGCCACAGGTCAGAATACAACCTGGGCCGTCCACTTTCGGGGACTTCAGCCTCTGTGCATGGGCATCAAGCACTAAAGACTACCCGCACTCCGATCAGTTTCAGGTTTGGTAGAGCCGCCTGGTCGTCACCACAGAGCTGTTGTACCTGCAGTAAAACAGATAAAAAGATGTGATGAACTATTTTCATTTCATTCATGACTTCATCTGCAATGTGTCACTTTAGAGCCAATAGAGCCAATACGATTTTTAAAAATTGGCTAAACATTCATGTACAGTTATAAAAGGGTCAAGTAAATATAATGAAGTTATTGAGTAAATTGTTTAACCTGCAAAAAAAAGCAGATTTAAAACGTTCGACGTGTCTAAAGTTATTAATTGGTGACATGTTTACAGTCTATAATTCAAAACGCCGAGACTCCTTTGACTCACGTCATAAGTAAAACAGATGTGCTCATAAGGACATCACACACCAGCACCCAAAAGGAGGCAGCAGAGGGACACGTCCCGTGAACTGAGACATGAAGATCGAGTCATGCGGCGTCACTGGATCAGAGGACTGACTGTTTATAAAGATGGATCAGAGCAGCAGACCAAACGAGCACTTGAATGTAGCTTCTGACGTGTTTTACCTGGAGAGGTGGGAGGAGTTATGAGCTGTCAGTCCTGTCTGGCTGAACGGAGCAGAGGATGAGGATGAGGAAGAGGAGGAGCACTGTGTGGAGTCCTGACTGTGACAGAGACGCTCCTGACCAGAGAGGCACAGAGACTCCTCAAGAGGAACGACGGGGATCCCTGCAAGAGCCGCGTTCTGACACACACACACACACACACACACACACACACAGTGAGTTAATGTGACAGTTTGCAGTGAGTGCGTTTGTCCTTTCTGGTATCTACCTTCATCAGGACTCTCTGGTTCTTCATGTCTTGTTTCCATGGCATCACGTACAGTTTGGGTATCATGGGATGTTGGGCGGAGAACGTCGGGATGTGTGAGCAGGATCGCCTCGGAGTCAATACCACGAGATAGTTAGTTTAGTGTTCAGGCTATGTGTGTAATGAACACGTACGATGAGGCCAACAAATCTACCTGTGGTCTTTTTTTTGTCCCTTCCTCTCACTGAAATCATTTCAGGATGTTTGGGTTTTAACTCTTCATTAAAAAATAAATTAATGAAAGCTTCTGTGAGGACTTGGTTATTAAAAAGACTGCAATCTGAAATGAACACTGAAGCGTCTTTATGACCTACAAAAGCAAACCAGATCACCGGCGACTTAATTCAGTTTTTTGCTGCATGTAACAAAAGATCATTCAGATGAAGTCTGGGTGTTAAATTAGATGTTCACATCGTAATTAATTTTGAATGCATATTTAACTTTAACAGTTCAGCTTCAGAGTACAAATATGAGACTCACTCATGTTTGGTGGAGCTCCCTCCAGCAGCAGCAGCAGCAGCAGCAGCCATGTTTGTTGACTGTGAGGGTCGCCTTAGAAACCTCCCAGTGCATGGTGGGTAGTGGGTAGGATTACAGGAGTAGGCTTTGAGAATAATGAATTACTTCTAACACATGATTAAGGAGAGATATTGTGGAACTGAGGTAAAAAAAAAAAAGAATGCATAAACATGACAGCAAAAAACCTTTTATTTCAAAATAAACCTTTTATTTATTTTAGTCATTCACATCTCTGTAACAGTCGGCTGTTTGAAAAGAGTTAACTCCAAAGTGTTTCACAGCTGATGCATCAAAAGTTCATTCAACAAGAGGAAAAGTTCTGGGACCACAATCTCCATGTGGAAGATTTAGAAACCACTATGGTAGTGCCACTGTTAAAGGTGAGCCACGGTATAAATGTAAAAAATTAACTGAACTTTTCCTTTGACAAGTTAAGATGGATTTACATATTTTTAACCATACTGGGTTTAAAGGCGCAATATGAAACTCTGACACCTAGTGTTTAAAATGGTTCTGCGGTCCAAATTCAAAACATTGGAGAGAGATGCTCAGAGCCTCTTTGAACAATTCAAATGGGATCGAGGGTATTACTGGAATAAGTTAACAACGATGAACGGGAAGAGACCGTCGACCTGTACGCTCTCGCTCAGTGGAAAGGCCGCCAGACAGTTACACTTTTCTGATAGAAAAACCAAGGGTGTAAAGTAAAGACAAACTCAGGGTGTATAAATCCCTAGATACCTTTAAATATGTTGTAATGGGAAATGTACAGCACTTTATATTTTGCCATTGAACTCATGACTTCCTTGATCCAAAGTTCTGCCCAGGCAGCAGCGAGGACAGAAGATAGTCACGTACAAGGTTTGGGACATTGTGAGTATGTAGTGAACCTGCAGCAACATGTTTAACAACTCTCATAATTAGCCACACTTGTCATGTTAGCTATGTTATGAGCCAGTTTGTTTTGCCTCCAGCTAATCGTCATTGTGACGTACAGTAGGCCCGAAATGTAACATAATTGACTAAACTTAACCAGATGATGTGCTAAGATTTTTTGTGAATTCTCCTTTTTGAGCCCTTGATGTGACTTTAATAAATCTCATTACTGTCAGGGTGTAACATTTACTATAATTAACTACATACATATTTACAGAATATTTACAGAGCTTCACACGGTATTTTCAGGTTTTCAGTACATTCAGATTGCCTCGTCCAGCAGTCTCTGCAGGTTCTTCTGCACCTGGAAGAACAGATACTTAGTGTTATTGTAACACCGGGCTGCATGACATGATACTCAGATTCACTTTAAAATCCTTTCTAATGATAATTAATATGTTTGCTTAAACCAGTCAGTTTATTTGGATAGAATAATTCCAGTGAAAGACTGAGGCAAAGATAGGAGAAAACCATCGTTTAGTGGAAGTACAGCAGCAGCCTGATCCGGCTGGGTTGGGTGCTAGTCCCAATCAGAGCACCTCACCCTGGCTTTGCGTCACTCGCCCTTTTTCTGCGATCTCTCTACGGACTCTCTTCTTGTGATCTCTTTGCTGTTCTTCTAAAAAAAAAAATAGCTGTCAAACCTGTACAGTGCTTTGAAGAATTTCCCCTTGGGGACAATAATGTCAAAGTCTAAAGGTGGGTGTGGGGGTCATTAGGGTCCATGTGGTAGGGTAAGTCGTATCGGCACAGTCTGGGTCTGTTGAAGGTGGCAACACTGTTTGGGCTGTGATGGCCATGTGTTAGAGTAGGTGTTGGAGTGGTGGGCGGTGAGATCTTGAATGGAGTGGGATGACTCTGGGACGCTGGAGATCACTGTCAGGCCTTCCCGAGGTGTTGTGGGACTGACTGGACAAAACTAATGTGAAGGGAGGCTCCTACTTGACCACCCTGGTGATGTCCTGGCTCTTGCTACTCATCAGTCTTCATGGTTGAGTTGTGGGGGGGCAGAAGGGGTTAGAAGCCCAGGAGGCCTTGTCTCACGTAGATGGAGGTCCCCCAACCTACAGCGAAGTGATCAGGGACTACTACCACCTGAAGTCCCTGACGCCCAGCCACCACCATTGAACTGTCATCCCCATAACCACCAGTGTCCTCATTCATGCACGGCCTGCTCCGACCTCCACCTCAGCGGCGAGGAAGTGTGGGCAACAGGAACGCCAGGACTACAAAGGAGAAATCTACCTGATAGTTTACATAAACAGAGCCTGGGTCTGTTGAAGGTGGTAATGCCTTTTTGAATGCAGTGGCTACTAAGGGCCATGTGGTAGGTTATGTAACTTATCGGTAGGGCAGGGACGTCTTCACTGGGCGCTAATCCTTTCATCAGAGCACTAGTATCTTGTGTCAAAATTCTCTTGTGCCTTATGCCATCCATGTGAGTCTGCAGAGAGACTGAGTGTTGCCAAGTAGAGCGTTTGACTTTTACCATCAAGCTATCGACAAAAGATATGGCTACCACAAACCAAACGACGAAAAAAATATCGCATCATGGGTAGAAAAATAAGAGAACTCGGAGAGCAGTGTGAAGAACTTCAAAATAAAAGTCCTGGCGGCCTTCGCTGTCTGCTCATGTGTTTAAATAATAGATAAACCAAAGTTGGTGAAAGATTATCAACAACCAGAGCAGCAGGCTGATATGACATGCAGCTCTTTCTGATATACTTTTCCATGTGAGCGCGGCTGTCAGTGGCGGCTGTCAGTGGCGGCTGTCAGCGGCGGTCCGTGTGTGAGGAGACGGGCGTCAGCCTGAAATGTTAATGTTGCTCAGTCAGTCACGCTGAGTGCGGACTGACAGATGAGAGACAAGCTCCTCTTACAGGTGACGTCCACGTTTCTCTATGAACAGATCACTGACTATAAATGTTTGATTAATAGAAACCAGAGTCTGGTTACACGTTGCTCTCTGGAAACGTGTCCTGAGGCTCCTCTGCTTCTGACACAATGTTTGGTTTCACAGCTCGATGAAGGGATTAACGCACGTGTAGACGCTGTCTTCTAAGTACAGTTACTGAGTTTATCAGGCTGAAAGTGAAAGTCTTTACACAGCTACACTCCAGAGGGAAGAAATAGGACTTAATAACTGTTTAGGTAGAACATCTCGAGTACACATGGATTGTGCCTGAGACCACCTCTTCATGTATACTCGGGCACAGTACCCCGAGTACGGTATGAGAACAGCAAGTTTGTCTTCACACAAACAAATGAACCAGATTTTGGGGTCAAGTGTACTCGGATCATTTGCACCTTTAAAAAAAGCTAAAGACCCAGCTCTGACCTTAATGATAATCATGATGATGACTGTGTTAAGGATATTTTGATGCTGATTGGAACTGCTGTCGATGTTGTGCTCTGCCTCTGGTCAATTCCTGTCAACACCTCTGGTCACTTCCTGTCAGCACCTGTGTGTCTGATCAGACTTAAAGCTGTTTGTTTGCACTTCCTGACCTTGTTTCCTCCTCTCTAGGTCCTTGCTTGTGTTGTTCTTTCTCTCTGATGTTCATCACTTTGGATTAAAGCGTCTGTTAAATTGTAGCTTGCTTAGATTAGAGTTTTTGCAGTCTAGCGTCAAAGATATTTTACTTTTGTAAACACTCTTCTGAGATTTTTGTAAATTGGCTATTCACCCATAAACTAAAACAAATTTTGAAGAAATGTGGATTTAAATGGGAGCCATTCCAGCGTTTTCTTCTTAGATCTTTTCTAAATTGAACGTGTTGGACACAGACAGACTGACTGACCTTCTCCAGCTTCAGCAGGTTGATGGTGAGAAGTTCAGAGAAGAGTTCCGAGTTCACGTCACTCCCCGGCAGAAAATCATTTCTGGAACAAGAACATGTTGCATATTAATTATCGGATATCCATAAACATGAGAGAGTGAATATGTTATTAAAAACGATTTAAACTTTTACAAGTATATACTGTTTTACTTGATATGTCTGTTTTTCTGACACGCAGATTGTTTTTAAATACATTCAAAGTAAACTTCATGATCACACGGTCTGATGACAGAGCTGACGGCGTGCGTTTAGTTCAGAAGCTGGTCTAACTGAAGGCTGAAAGTAAAGAGACGCGGTGTTGTAGTACTTGATATCGTTCCTGAGACCACTTTTTGAAGGTCTCAGTCTCATCTCGGAATAAAAAGCTGCTCTTTTTCGGTTCACCTGTGTGAGTTCAGTTTTTCTCACATTATCTCATCAGTTCACTGGTCGAACCTTGGGAGACTTACATTTTGGAAAGTTGTAGCTTTTTCAGGTCCTAGTGATACTGTGAATGTTCTGACTACATTTACAACAACTGCAGCTCTGTTTCAGCTCCTCCATTATTCAATCGTGGCAGCCAAGATGTGACAACAAATAAGAAAATATTTAAATAAAACTTTCCCCCCCCGACTCTTCCTCATCAGTTTGAAGAACATCTTTGTGATGTTTCGAGGCCTCTTCGCACAGACTTTGTGTTTCTGACAGGGTGTGGACTCACTCCTGGTGGGCGAACTCTGTGACGGAGCCGAGCGTCGACAGTCTCTGCTCCAACGAGACGATCTTCAAGGCGAGGTAACAGGAGGACAGGACCAGGACGCACACTCTGGGAAAACACACACACACACACACACACACACACACACACACACACACACAGCCGATAATCAGCCAAGGAACAGTTCAACACAGATAATAAAAGCAAGCTCTGCATATAAGAGCAGCTGCAGTAGCTGTAGACTTAACGTGCAAATTGTTTGACCTACTTTCGTAAAATTCTCTGAATTAATGAACAAAATCAAACAGTCTGATAATGGACCAAAAAGAGGACATCTTGAATTACTGTATTTAGGATATGTACTAATTACTGAATACATACCACTTAAAACATTGGAACATTACTTGATGTAATGAATGAATAAATAGAGGGATAAATACATTTAATTTTTGGATGAATGCATGGATGGTGTCAAGATTTGTTCCCGTTTAGGCAATCCTCTTCCTTGTGGCCTGAGCCACTAATGTGAACTTTTGTTTTTTTTCCCAGTTTTTGGATTTGTTGGCCTTTGTTTGAGCTTTAAGATTCTCTAAGAGTAAGCTTTCTGTGTTCTGCCTTTATCTTTGCTGTACGTTGGGCCGTCTGTCGTTGTTTTGATTTTACTAACCGGTTTCAAAGATGAATGAATGTTTTTAAAGGACAATGAATGGATCAATTAGTGGTTAACTCACAGAAACAGGTAGACAAACAGCACAGTGTTGAGTGAAATGGGTTTCAGTGTTCTTGTGTTGATCACAACATCTGAGCCTGAAACAGAAAAAACACTCACTCATTGAAACAAAACAATCAAATAAAACATTCAATTCAATTTGTTGTTTGTGAAAAAAAAAAACATCTTGGTAGTTATAACTTCAGCAACAGTCCTATCCCGACAGAAAACTATCATTATTATAAACTTACCTGAGGAGATCTGGGGAAACTTTGGACTACTGCTGGTTAAAATGTGTAGTTGATATATTTTCAGAGATAATGGGTTTGTAGTTTTTACAGTAGTTATATTTACAGACAGTTTGTTTATACCGGTGGGGTGTGTGTCGTGCTGCTTGCTGTCTGGGTTCTGCTGGTTCTGATGTTGGTTCTGATTCTGATTCTTCACTTTGTGTTGGTGGCTCGGATGTTCAGGAGGAGCTGAACCGTCTGTTTGCTTCAAAACGTCCAAAAACGGAGGGACGGGGAACTCTGCAGCGTTCAAGAGACAGGAAGTTGTGAGGACAGGAAGACTCTGGAGACTTGAAAACCTGACTGAATCTGCAGATTAGGATAGTTTACAGACTCATGAAATATACATTCAAGAAAACTTAATGGATCTTTGTTGGTCGGTTGTTTAAATGAATCTTTGGTTATTAAACATTTTGCAGGTTAACTGGTTTGTTGGTTTATTGATTGGCTAGTTGATTGGTTATTGGTTATTTGGTTGGATGGTTGGTCAACTATTTGTCTGTTTGGTTTGCTGGTTGATAAGTTGATTGTTGGGTTGGATTGTTTGTTTGTTTGTTTGTTTGTTTGTTTGTTTGTTTGTTTATTTAATAGGTTAGTTGAGTTAATAGTTGGTTACTTAATGGCTGTTTTGTTGGTTAATTTGTTGGTTAGTTTGTTCCTTGATAGGTTGGTCAGGTGGATTTTTTTTGTTGGGTGGTTAACTGGTTTATTGTTTGGTTTATTGTTTGGTTTGTTGGTGGATTGGTTGAAGGGTTAATTTGTTGGTAAGTTGGTTTGCAGTTTGTTTTGTTTGGTTATTTAATACATTGGTTGGATAAATGGTTACTTGGTTGCTATGTTGGTTGATAAATTGATTGTTCGGTTGGATTATTTGATTGGTTGGCTGGTTTAATGGTTGGTAACTTCGTTTGTTCCATGATAGGATGGGGGCTTGGTTTGCTTGTTGGTTGATTGGTTGGTTGGTCGGTTGGATTGTTTGTTGGTTTGTTGGGTGGTTAACTGGTTAATTGTTTTGTTTGTTGGTGGATAAGGGTTAAAGGGTTTGCAGTTTGTTTGGTTATTTAAAACCTTGGTTGGATAAATCATTGGTTGCTATGTTAGTTGATAAGTTGATTGCTCGGTTGGATTGTTTGGTTGGTTGGTTTGTTTGTTGTTTGGTTTGTTTGTTGGTTGGTTGGATGCTCTGTGTGTTCGGTTGGATTGTTTCTTGTTTTTTTTGTTGGTGGATTGGTTGAAGGGTTAATTTGTTGGTAAGTGGTTTTACAGTTTGATTGTTTGTTTGGTTATTTAATACGTTGTTTGGTTAAGTGGTTGGTTACTTGGTAATTTGGCCGGTTTTACCTGCTATCTTGTCGTAGTCTGGTGTCTGGGAGTCGGAGCTGCTGCTCTCCTCCATCTCCTGCCTCCTCTGTCTCACTGCTCCGTCCAGATCAGTGAAATCACCCGTAAAATTCTGCAGAAACAAACACGACATGTAAGCTAATAGAAAAACAGAACGAGGTTTCAGCTGATGATGAATGTCAGAGAGGAGACCTTCAAGGCAGTCGTACTACAATATGGTAAAGATGGTTCTTTACACTTGTTTCAGTTTCAGTGAGTATGTGTCTGACCTACCAGAGGAAAGCGAGGTGACAGAGGTGACCTTTGACCTCTGAAGCTGCTCTCAGCAGAGGAGGGGAAGGGGCTACTGCACGGACTCTTCTCCTGTTCAAACACAAACCACGTACAGTCAGATTTATGAGGTCATATTAATTCAGTATTCATTGAAGATATTGATCAAAACAAAGAAGAACATACATTTAGCAGATTTTTGAAAACGAAATGAAAGGAGGACAAGAGAATCAAACATTGAGTAAATCATAAAACACATTTCATATTTAACTCAGCAATATGTTCTCTTCATGAGGATATTTTCTCCTGTTGGAAGAAACCCTCTTCTCTTTAAAGGTTGTCTGCCTAGCAACAGTGTGAATGAAAATATGTGGCTGCATGATGGAGGTCGGTCCTACCTCCAGATGAAGACAGACGGAAATCAGGATCTTGTAGGTGTTGTCTCTGGACAGGAAGGACACAAACATGTACTGCAACAAAAACAAACAAACAAATAAACAGTTTACCATCAAGTTAGCATATTTGTTTTTTATTGTTTTCTGTGACACTTTCAACTGACCAAACTTTAAAACCCTGTTTAAAACAAACAGAAACACTAACATATCCTCAAACATGTGGAGATTTAGAGAAGCCAATGCACAATTAGGGGTTGCTCTGTGGAAAAATGTAGAAACAAATCCTTGCACACCTGAATGTGTAACAGGTGTGTAGGAGGAGTTTAAAACTTGAAGGCAATGAGAAGGGCTCCCGCACACTGTCTCGCTTTACACTGACGTATTCATTAGATGGTACAACGTTTCAGTCTAACCGACCTCCGTTGGGTATAATGGCAGCAAGAAAACATGTACATGTATTGGCTGCACCTTTCTAACTAAGCATTCGCTAATAACTTGAGGTTTGCTCCCTCCAGAACCCGTCCTCTCGACCAAACATGGTTGCCATGCTGGTACTTTTCTGTATGTTGTAAATGTAGTAACTTTTTTTTGTATGTACTTTTAGTCGTAAATAAATTCTTTGTCATGCCACCCCTGCAGAAGTCAGCGCCCCAGGTGGGCCACCCTAGTCCAAAAAGTCTGGACATGCCCCTGTCCAGTACATTATTTCACAAAGTAATCTTTCTCACCCTGTCGTTTGCGGTTGCGATCACCAGAGCGTTTGGCACCAGGATGGCAGTTTTGGTCTTTTTGATGTGAGTGACGGACATCACTGGGATGGCGATCTGAAACAAACAATCACGATGATAACCAGTGCAGTCCTGATGGGATTACTTTACCGTCAGCAACCTCATCCTTCAAAGAATCATATCAGGTATTCAGCTAATGGCTTGTGGTACAGTTTGAATAGAAACCAATTGGAGTGGGAACACAGACTTAAGATAACTTCTATCTATTTATGATTAAAGACCTGATCACACTGGCACAAATAAGACAAGCTGCAACCTCTGCTGTCGAACAATGAAGCCAAGCCAAGTCAATTGGTTACTTAGCAACTAAGTGACCAGAGGCAGAGCACAACATCGACAGCTGTTCTTCAGAGTTGTAATCAGCATCGAAAACATCCTAAATATTATCATCATCATCATTAAGGTTGTAGGTGTTCATAAAGAGCTGGGTCTTTAGCTTTTTCTTAAAGGTGCAAAGGGACTCTGCTGATCGAATGGAGTTAGGAAGTTTGTTCCACAGCCGGGGGGCGACAGAGAAGAAGAGTCTAGTTAGAGACTTAGGACCCTGTTGTGAAGGTTGGATCAGATGCCTTTCATTGGCAGAGCGTAGTGGGCGGGAGGGAGTGTAGACCTGCATGAGAGTTTAGAAAAGAAGGAGCCGTTTTTGTGGCTGTTTTGTAAGCGAGCTGCTTACAACTGTGTTCTGACAGATTCCTGTGAAGCTTCAGGTACATTTGAATAATTAAGGCCAACGTCTCTCCAACAAAAAATCAAACCTGCAGCTGTTGGCACCTCACTGAATTCATATATAAAAGATTACAGCTAAGTTTTGACAAAACGTCAGCAAACACAGACAGTTTGTTGCAGCGTGAAGTTCCTGTTTGAGAGTCTGAAGGGAAAGGAAACTAAAGAGAAAGTCTGAGCGCCTCTGTGATAAAAACCCCCCGGGGGAAGAATCTTTGAATTCTTTCCACACAGCAGAGAAGTTGAAGCATGATGGTAACCACACACACACACACACACACACACACACACACACAGACAGCACTCTGCAGTAATGTGTGTCCCCTGTGTCGTTACCTTTGTGTCCTTTCCGAACACTTTGGAGTGGAAGCAGATCCAGTGGTCAGAGACAAACATGCGGCCCTGGTAGAGGATGTCTTTCTGCAGAGCACAGGTGTAACCTGACAGACAGTTCAGTGGAAAAGAAGATGGGAGAGTGTAATGTTTCAGTCTTAAAACAACAAAACTGACATGGTGAAATGCACTTTCAGATATTTCTTTATCAGTGTCAACATTTCCTGCGTCCGTACGGCTGCTGCTTTAAATCTGCTGCAGTATAGACACATAATGTGTAATAGCATTAGTATTTGTATTTGTTTGTGTTTATTCAGGATGTCTTCTTGGATGAAAACCAAGCTAAAGTTTCATCGAGAAGCTGTTGCAGAGGGACAGAAAATATAAGAGCTTGAGCTGTCAGAAGATACATTTCTTTAATCGCATTTAATCACTCAATTTCAATAGTTAATAGCATTTTAATAGCATGTTTGAAATTCCAAAATTTTGTATTTTAACACAGTTCATTTCAGGCTTTTATTTTGTATTTTTGTACTGTCTTAAATAGAGTGTACATTACTTCCAGTTTGGATACAAACCTGCTTTTATTTTGAAAGAAAACAAGGAAATTCCAGTAGATCAAAGGTTACAAACTTAACTTAAAGGTCACATATCCTCCTCCTCTTCAATCAGTGTAAATAAGTATCAGAGCTCCTCAAAAAATGTGTGTGAAGTTTTTTGTTCTAAATCCACTCTGATCCTGTATTTGATCCTGTCTATAAACCCCTCTATTTCAGCCCTGCTCAGAACAGGCTGTTTCTGTGTCTGTACCTTTAAATGTAAATGAGCTGTGTCTGACCACGCCCCCTCTCTGGAAGGGCTTGGGTGTCTCATTCTTTCTCACTCCATGTCCTATTGTTTATGGTGAGAAGGCAGACTCAGAGGGCAGAACAAACACCTAGCTGTGGGAGTGTCACCCACCTGGGGGAGGGGTTACTGCCCTTTGTGATGTCATGAAGGGAAAATCTCCAAACAACCTGTTTGAGCACACATTTTCTGTAAAGTGGAGCAGGCAAAAGACGGAGAGGATGGACTTTTCTCATCATTGGGGGGTTTGTAGACAGACTAGGGACACATGTTAGTGTGAGAGAAACATGGTGAAGTGGATTTTACAGAATATGTGACCTTTAACCAGAGAAACTGATGATGTACTGAAAAGGAAATTAATCCGCTAATGGGATAGATCGAAGCTTGATCCAAAGGCAGAGACCCTACACAGACATACGGCTAGATATAGTAAAGGTGTTTTTGCAAACTGCCTAGCGATAGCCTAGCGAATATATCCCGCGCCCCATGTAGAGAGTCCTTGAAATGGTCCTCAAAGGCAAAAAATGCCCCCCACCAATCACGTCAGGAGGCTGGCAGTGTTGCAGCAACTAAACTAAAACCTCATGTCAATACCCAAATAGTCCAGTGACATCAGTGTGAGTGAGATCTCTATGTGAACCTCTCTTTGAAATCCTCGTCGTCTCTTGTTAAAGAAAAGCTCAAAGTGTCGAGTGTCTGACTTTGATCGAATCCCTCATTCAGTATTTAAGGTGGAGTGGAGAGATGTGATCATGAAAGACTCACTTTGTCGCAGCTGCTCCTCTTTGCTGATCTCCTTAAATATTTTATGGTACTGACCGTTGCTCTTCGACAGCTGAAACACAACGCATGCACACAAACGCACACACACACACACACACACATGAAACCATGTTACATGCACTATACTTTAAGAGATCTGAACACTCATCATAAAGATATAAAAAGAGGAATAAATTAAATATTGGGCGATCAAAGCCAATTAGAATGAATATGATATCACTCAGCTGTAAAAACCAGAGATTAATCACCCCCACACTGGGACTTTTATATGTGTAATAAAATATGTATCAGAGTGAACTTAATGAGAGCTCACCTGGCTGTATTGAGACTTCTTCCTCTCTATCTTGGGGTCGGCATCTGTCAGAACCTGAGTCAGCAGGGAGTGATCGAAGGTCTTTGACCTGCAGGCAGACGGTGGAGACGTCACTCATGTTATATATCACGGCCCACAGGAGCGGCTGTTCATCGGACACACTTTGAACTCTGATATATTTATACAGCACCATTCATTAAAGCTCAACAGTTCAGATTACAGATGTGATACAGAAGAGCTGTGCTGACAGGGAACCATTTAACCCTTTCACGCATGAATTCTTAACTAATGGAACAGGAGCGCTCAAAGTTTTCTGAATGTCGTTTTTTACTGTAACGTGGCTCTAATACTCTGTCGTTCTTTTCTCTCTTTTCAAAGAGAGTCCAGGCCAAGGCCAAGCTTATAGTTAGGCCTGGGTGTAGACCAGCTCCTAGTGATGCTGCTCTAGGCTTAGACTAACGGGGGAACTGGCACCCTGAGCGCCTCTCTCTCTCTCTCTCCCCCCCCCCCCACTCCCTGTTTGTCCCTATCTTCTTCCTGCATCTTATCCATCTCCCCCCTATCCCATTTTTCTCTCATAACATAAGAAACAGTGTGGTCTTACCTGCTCTTTTTGTAAAGTGTCTTGAGATAAGATTTGTTATGAATGGGCGCTATAAAAATAAAGATTGATTGACTAAAGACAGCGGCATCAAAGTTAGAGAAATGACATGGACCAGAAGTGTTGAGCAGAGAAACTTGTGCATACAGCGGTTTGATGATCCTTTAACCCCGTTTTTTTTAAAACCCTCCAAGTAGGAGTTGGAGACTCTGCAGCTCAGAGCAACATGATGGAGCAAACACACATGTTGATGAACAGCGCTTTAGAAATGAAACTTGCCTTGTCTGAAATTTTTTATACATCTATCATTTGAAGCATGCTTCAAGAACGATGATATCGTTTGGGCGCACTATAAAAATATTCACATCATGGGACTTCAGGGGCTCTGATTGGTTCTGATTCAACTGGCTGCCACCCTGCGAGTCCAGTCCACCTCACTGATAACATTATTTTAGAACGATAATAAAGGCTACATGTTCAATTTGAAAAGGGCAAAGTAAATATTCTGAGCTGGGGATCGAACCCCTGACCATCCCGTGGAGAGAGGACCGCCTCTACCGCTAACCACTCGTTGATGGGCGGAGGTTAATGATGGGTGGAGATACCAGGGGAGGGGATGAATACCTGACTAACGCTGGTTTCCTCCTGCTGGTTAGCTCCTGCTGCTCCGCATCGATGGTCTGCTGAGGCTCACCGACCATCCTGTCATATCTGAGCCGCTCCTCCACGTTTTCTACGTCTGAGCTGCAGACACACAGAAAACATCATCATTCAGACTGCATGCTACAAAAACAGCTGTGAAATACATGGAGTGTGACCATCAGTACAGTCAGAAGTGTAAATGTGGATGTGTGGCATAATGAAGTGTGGGATGTCGAGAAGCGTATGAAAAACAGAACGAGGTTTCAGCTGATGATGAATGTCAGAGAGGTAACATAAAGGTTTCATACAAAACCATAAAATTCAAATTGTGTGCAGCCATTGCATCTTCCTGCAGCCAGCCGGGGTCAGGGGATCAAAGAACACTGCTGCATCTTTGAACGTCTCCTTTCACTGTAACAAACTCTCAGACAGCTCAGCTGACGAGTCCAAAGTAATATTCACCTTATGACATCACACATTGACCTTTGTGATCCATAACGAGTTCCTTTTTCGACAGTTAAGTTAATGTCCTAACTTTCAAAACTACAGGAAGTTCTGCTTTTTCTTTCAAACAATGCAGGCTTGTATCCAAACAGGAAGTAAAGCAAACTTAGCTCAATGGCAGGGTTGGTCATTTTCTAAAAACTAGCATGATTTTGAAAGTAGCATTCCCGAAATGTGCTCCGTCTTCACCGATTTCACCGATCTTCTTCGTAGCATCAACGCTGTTTTACGCCGACATGCCGACTTTCTGAACTGATATCACGTGAACACACTGAAGTCGGAAGAACGACTTCCCAACCTCGGAAACTTGGACCACCCGAGCAGCACCTGAATGCAGCATAAAGAGCAGGGAGGCGCCTGATTGGTTCATCAGATTGGTACCTCGAGGCAGACATTGGTCGAAGTTTTCACAGGCTTACAACTGCTACATATGACGGATTTTCTTTGTTCCTTTTTCAGAGAACATGAGTTAATAATTTCTGTCAGGATCTGACGGCAATTTCAACCAGAATCTTAAAAAAGTGGATCTAGAGAAAAATTACTAACCCTGCCTTTAAGCGCAATGAAAGCCGAACAAAACCTGTTAAGAAATGCAAAATAATGGAATTTCAAACATGCGATTAAAATGCGACTAATCATGATAAACTATTGCGATTCTGTGATTAATCGAAATTTAAAAAATGAATCATTTGACAGCTCTAGTTGTAATATTTGAGCTCAACTACTTTTGCAACAACTTCAACTTGTACCTGCTGCTCCCATGCAAAGAACTTCTCAAACATTATATTAGCACCACTCCACATGTCCTGAGAGCATTTTTCAAATGTCTGAGCCTGCTTGCAGTCACACACTCACTGATAGTCTCTGTCCTTGTGTTTTGCAGATCCTCTGTTACGCCTCCGGGTTTCTTCCTGCTGGTTCACACTCTGTTCTGTCATCACGCTCAACAGTTTAATATCCCGACTCATCAGCCGTCTGTCCTGCTCTCCTGTCAACCTGTCTGTCTGTGTGTGTGTGTGTGTGTGTGTGTGTGTGTGTGTGTGTGTGTGTGTGTGTGTGTGTGTCTGCTGCTGTGAGAAATGGAACTAACCCTGCAGCCTGATCCTCTCCTGCACATTCACCTGCTTGTGGGCGTGTCTCAGGGGCCTCCTGGTCTCTCATGTCACAGCCAATGAGGGCGCAGAACAATGTGGTGTGTGCGTGTGTGTGTGTGTGTGTGTGTGTGTGTGTGTGTGAGCATGAAAACTTTTGATCAAGCCTTTTTCAGAGCTTAGTTCGCAGCTTCATTTTTGTTTTAAAATCGAGCTCTTTCGCAGTTTGAGTAAAGTTTGAGTTCACGAGCAGGCAGCAGTTTGTGGATCAGGTTACGCAGAAACAGAACTTTGTTCCATTTCCCCCCCAACAGGAAAAATCTGCAGAGTTTCACTTTGACACAGAGTCTTACTTTCATTTTTACTTTAAATATGAATGCCATACAGGAGGGTGCCAAACACCTGATGGATCTCTTTACACAGACTGCCGTCCTGACCTTTGACCTCATGGTTACTTCACATGGACATTGTGAGTTTATCTTATTCCACAGATTTTGTTACAAAGAGAAAGGAACAATCCGGGGAACAAGACGAATCAGTGTTTGCTCTGACAGATCAACCGGGCTTCAATCAGTTTGGGCTGGCCCTAAACCAAACAAAAATGGTACCAAACAAATGGACTTGAGCTTGGATAGCGCTGAACTAGTCTTCTGACTGCTCAAAGTGCTTTTACACTGCAGGCCACACCTACACGTTCACACACATTCAGGGGTAGAGGCTGCTTTGTCCATCAGAATTAACTAATCCCATTCATTTTGTATTTAACGGCACCAATAAAATTAAAAGATAACTTAAAGTTCTGAGATGTTGAACATGTGAACACCTCAGCATGAATGAGGAAATACAATCCTGCTATTATCCTGCTTCTTTTGTGTGTGTGTGTGTGTGTGTGTGTGTGTGTGTGTGTGTGTGTGTGTGTGTGTGACATGAGCTGACTGATATGAGCTGTGGGTCAGTGGGCCACAATAACCGTCAACATGTTTACAGTCTATGGTTCATACGTGGTCTTCTCTGTGAGCCTGGACTTTAGATTTCATTATCCTACTCTGGGACTCACTAGAAATGATTTTACTCACACACACATGCACACACACCATGACGCACACACAGGCAAACACACACACACACACACACACACACACACACACACACACACTGACTCCCAAAGAAAAGATTTCCAAGACTCAAGGTCTACAGTTGCACACACAGAGTCCTAAATCTTACAAAAAAATCAAACATACAGGCAGCCTGCAAGTCTAAATGTGCTGATTCATCTTTTTATTTCTGACAGTTAAATCAGGAAAAGGAGAAATCTCACACCCGGCTTTAAATACGGACGATTCAGGGAAGTTTTCGGCCACGTTTAGCAGACAACCTGTGAAAACTTTATAGAGTTTGTAAAATGAAGTTCACGTTATTGTTGTGTTTAAATAAATGTTGTATTTTCCAAAGGGTGCCTTTGTTTGTTTGTAATGTTGTCTTATTGTTTGAGATGCTGTTGGGTTTTGACCTTCAGGGCCCCCGAGCAGGTCTTCATAAAGGATCGTAAATCACTAAAACACTCAAACACAACAGCCTGCACTTTGACACTCTGCTCAAATGTTACCCATTATTGTAAAAAATGTTTTCACAAAATGTAGTTCAATTCTAATTAAAATTTTGCAAAAATGTAAAGTGTGTTACAAATTAAAATGTATTATTATTATTATTATTATGGGTGGAGATACCAGGGTGAGGGGAGGGTATTTATTTTTTTACCAGAATCCCACTGTGATGTCACAAGGAGAGCACAACGGAGCATTTTTCTCTGTGTTGTAAGACTTATGCAGACCACAAACAAAGGACTGGATGGGTTTATTTCACATTTTGTGGGTCTGTAGACACTCAGGTTACCAAATATATGTTCAAAAACACAAATTGGATTTCTCATAATATGTCCCCTTTAATATAGTTTTTAAGCTGTTGTGTTCTTTTGTGTTTGGATAGGCCTAATAGAAGAAACAGAAACAATTTTGGGGGTCCCGAGCTAAAAAAAAGTAGGAAGCTGTGCTCTAAATGATCATAAAATACTGCAGAATCTCTTCTTGAACAACCTATTAGCTCTCATTTCTCTGTGGTTGTTACTGTAATGTTTCCATTTCTGGATCGGTTAATTCCCTCTCTGCTGGAGGAACAGTTGAGTGAATGTAATTTACTGCAGTTTGTTTGATTGAAACGGATGAAGATGAAGCGACACGCAGTGAGGCGGTGATCACTGCTGCAGTCTGAGCCTCCTGCATGCTGAGCTGTGCAAACAGACGCCAGACGCCCTTTGAAACACAAACACAAACTGAATGAACTGCAGCTCGGGCACCTCTAATCATGACATGTCAGCACATTTGTCTTGCAGGAAATCCAAAACTCCATATATTACTTTTTTACCACTTTCAAAATCTAGTCCCAAAAGAAATTAAAACAAATAAATAAAATGTGGTGTTGATTCCCCGGAGTGCCCCTCACTCTTTTCTGGTCACAACAAACAACCTCAGTGTTTATGTGGGTTTAAGCCAGAAGGTGGGAATGTTGTTAATAATTTAATGCACAAAAGTGGAGTCTGACTCAACACTGCACCAAGATCGATGTTTGTGAACAGTTTTTTCTTCTGTTGTGACTACAAGCTCCTGCTGGTTTAGCTGGATTTACTAGAAAATCCACACAAAAAGCATTTTTTGTGTGTAGATGTTTGGGTGCACTTGTACATTTTTGAAAAATAAGTCAAAAATGGTGTTTTGTCTGCAGAGGGAGCTGTCTGCATTCTGACAAACACCCTTAAAGATACAGACTTCTCCTAAAGTAAAGCTGCTCCATCGTCCCTTCTGGGCCTCCGTACATGTGTGGTGGTGACTGTGTCTGCAGAGACCCGGTCCTGGATTTAACTGTTCTGGTTTGTTTTGGTTGACTCTGGATGTTTCTGGGCGGGGAGCTGGTGTGTCTCCTCCAGCCAATGAGAGAGCAGCAGGTGAGTTTAGGAGTGGATACAATTGGGTGTCGGTAGCCTAGTGGTTAGTGTGCGGCCAGTGGTCGAATCCGACCTGTGGCTCCTTCACAGCATGTCATTCCCCACTCTCTCTCTCTCTCCGATTTCTGACTCTGTTCACTTTCCTGTCTCTAAATAAAGGCAGAAAAGCCCAAAAATCTACCTTTAAAAGAAAGAGGAGTGGATACAATTCAGTGATTGGACGCGATTCAAACCAGCGAATATGACGGACGTGGACGTAGCAGCAGAAAAGAGAAAATATAATCAGAGTGAGGAGAAACACCAAGTGGATAAAGCTCATTCTAAAACAAGGATGAACCTTCTGTTCGCTTTTACCCGTGGACGTTGAGTTGATCTGCTTCCTGTTGAACAGGCAGGTGACAAACACCGGTGGTTAGCTTGCGCTAGCATGTGTTGGCTTGCAGTGCAGCTACATACAGTAAACGTACACACTATGTCCTGCAGTGAGGGTGAGCTTCTGGGGGAGGTGAGCCCAGGAGGAGGAGGAGCCCAGTTTGAATGTTGTGTTAATTCTACAATTCAGTTGGCAGACGCTTTTATACAGAGTGACGTACATCCGAGAGTAAGAAAAACACAGGCAAGGATCCAGAGAGGAAGAAACAACGCCAGGAAGTGCAAACGAACAGCTTTAAGTCTGATCGGACACACAGGTGCTGACAGGAAGTGACCAGAGGTGCTGACAGGAAGTGACCTGAGGCAGACCACAACATCGACAGCTGTCCTTGATTTTATCACAATCATTTATCTGATTCTGCAGCATAGACAGTTAAAACGAAGTCAACCCTGCAGTTTTGATGTCACCCAATTCTTGAATAACTAACTATGAAACATTTATCATTTTGGGCTTACGCTGGCTTATCTGACAAGATGCATCCCCGTGTAAATCAGTATTCACCTTACAGTGTCTTTTAGTACAACCAAAAGCTGAAAAAACGTTTTACAGGTCGGCCTAGTGACTTGTCCAACACCAGGTAACCGAACCCTAACCCCTCCCCTGCTTTCTCATCTATTTCCCCTTCTTTAGACCAAATGTCTTTCCAGGGACTTCACCTCAAGGAACTAAATGGTTCCTGTAACCCAAGTTATCAGCATTTCTCTGAAGTCCCGGGAAGGTTATGACAATCAGGCCGATGACGTGGGGAGAAGCAATAAAAGTAACTGCACTACACCGCCAGACCAGTAGGTGGTGGTAATGAGACAAAAGTCATACAAGAAAGATGAAGCCATGCAAGGAAAGTGTAGAAGCACAGGCTTGCAGCTGCAGTCTTTGAAACATGGTGGGTGACCTACAACGCTATGAGTGCCTGACCAATTGGAGACGTTCAGCACTGCAGGCCCTGCCTCCCAAAGTCCCTGGACCTTTGGAAGGTACTACCTATCAAGCAGGGTCTTTTGTAGGGGTAGATCTATTACCCCAGAACTACATTTAGACCCTGGTTCCTGCAGGGTCCAAATGCACATAGTTCCTCAAAAGGTCCCTTGTTCCTGGGGAAAGTTCCTGCGGTGGAGAAGGGTTTTTTTGACTCTAAATGGGACCATCATTTAATCAATGAACATCATATGTGTTGAAGACGACTTGAAACTAGAAATTCAGACAATAAACTTCTTTGTGGATTCAGTGCAGTAGTGTCAAGACCACACTAATCGAGACCACGACATACCCGAGACTCAGACTCAGTTAACAGATGTTTAGTGTGGATAAAAAATAACCAAAGCAAAAAGCTCTACACGCAGAAACAACCTGAAAGTGTTGTTACATCAAATCTGGAGACTTTTTGAAGACACTGTTAATGAGATTCTTCTTACCGGTGATGTCCGCTGGTATTGTAGAGAGCATAGCAGTGTTTGGACATTGTGCTCTTCGTCTTTAACCGAAGCAAGTCTTCTGGACTGTAGTTCTCCATCGCAGCCGCAGGATCACTTTGACAATGTTTCTCAGAGCAGACCTGATTCATCAAGTATGTTGTTTTCAGAGTTTTAGAAAACCTAAGGTGCTCTGTTTGTATGTCTGTACTCCACTTTCTCCTCAAATATACACCGACCAATGAAACGCCTCCTGTTCGTCTGCAGAATAAACATCACCTAGCAGTCTGTGACTGGCTGTATAGTGGCTCTGTTTGTTTGCTTTGAGAACAGTACAGTGTGTCTTAGTGATATAATGTAGACTTTTTCCTGACCCCCTCTGTCGTGCTGCCCCAAATCTCTTATCAGAGACTCTGGTCAATGATAGACAAGCTGGAGGTGTTTTGGACTTTCACTGTCTGCAACACACTTCTCTACATTTTAGAGAGCCTGACAAAATGTTGGGAGGGACGCTCGGTGGAAACAGTTTCCTTACTCTGACACAGAGTGTTTAAAATGGGTACTACAGTCCAAATTCAAAACATTGTAGAGAGCGGTGTCCCCCCCTCCTCTTTAGAGTCGATGTTCACGCAGGTCACCATGTGGTGGACACTGAAGCTTCAGTGTTTATCCAGCTCTGCATCGGTCTGTAAACCTTTCTATATTATAACCTCTCTCCATTTTTTAAAAGCATCTCCAATATTGATCCTAGTTTGAGCACGTTTCTGCTCGTGGAGCTTATTAGAAACATGCAGAGGCTTTTTAGGTCGACTCAAACGGAGTAGACGGAGCTCCCCCAACCTTCAGCGAGGTGATCGGGCACTAAACCACCCCATGTCCCTGACGCCCGGCCACCACCATCGGACTGTGTCGTCCCAACGACACACCCACCGCCGTCCTCATTCATGCACGGCCTGTGTTGACAACAGCAACGCGAGGAATACAAAGGAGAAATCCTTCCTGCATATCATCTCATCTCTGCCATCTCATTTTTCTTAACAATGAGTAATGTCTTTTACCTGCTTTTTGTAAAGCATCTTGAGATAACACTTGTTATGAATTGGCGTTACACAAATACTGATTGATTGATATCATTTTGTCTCCATAAATATTATTTTACTTCTTTCATATAAGAAAATAAATGAAAAAGGAGGATGTTAGTGTACGTGGTGAATACACTTTAATCTCTCAAAGACGCTCAAGATTCAAATAGATAAAATAGAAACATGTTTTTCTCAGTGCTTTATTAAACTTGTGGCCGTATGATGCTTGATGCAATGTGTGCAGTAAAAATAAAATTCTAATTTTACCAAAAAATCCCAGTGCTGAAGGTTATCATGTATGATTCTAAATAACTAGTTAAAAGACATCACAGCGCCCCCTGTGATCAATCAGCGCAACTGCAAAGACCCAGACAGAAGCAGCTGATGTGATGAATCAGTCCAATCACATCCAATCGGTCACACCTGAGGTAATGTCTAACCAATCAAGCACTACAGCGCCCCCCTGCGGTTGACCACTCTCATTTTCTTAAAGGCGTTATATTTCTTTTTAGCTCAAATAAATTCTCTTTTTTTTTGTTTCTGTCTGTTTGTTTTTTAAATAAATGTGTAAGGGGAGTAAAATAAATTCAACTTTCATTTCCCCTGAAGAATAAAGAATGTGATTCATGTTTTATTTATAGCTGTGTTTTTGAAGTGAGATGTAAGACTGTGCGCATGTTGCAGTGTTTGTGATGTGATTGTTACTTTATTTTTTCTTGTTTAATTTGAAGTATTTTACTCATTGAGCATTCTTATTACAAATCCGAGGTGTACTCCATATCCCGAGCCCGCTGTCTCTGTGAGACCCTCAGCTGTCTGTCAGTCAGTGTTGGAGTTTGTGATGGAGCAGGCCTGATCCAGCAGCCTGATCCGGCAGCCTGATCCAGCAGCCTGATCCGGCAGTCTGATCCGGACCTCCGCTCGGTGCTCGGTGCCTCACTGCGGCGCTGCGATGACTTGAATGCTGATTATTGTGAAGATCGACAAAGGACACGAGGAAAGGAGGAGATGAACCGTTTCCTCCGAGCTGGGGAGAATGGAGGGCTGCTGACGGACTGCAGGGAGCTGTCACCCAACCACACCGCCTCCTCCTCTTCCTCCCCCTCCTCCATCACCTCCTCCTCCTCCTCTTCATCCTCCAGCGCCGCTGGCTCAGCCGACAGACACGCGGCCCTGCCCTCGCTCCAGACCCGGGGACCTGTGGGCAGTGGCAGCGGCGGCGGCGGGTCGGAGCCGAGGAGATCCGCGTTTAAGCGTAGCCGAGCCGGGCGGGAGGGACGAGAGGAGGCGGAGGATCAGTCCGCGGCTGCGCTCATAGTGCGGAGTGTTGGCGGAGCCGTGCAGCAGCAGCAGCAGCAGCGGCAGCGGCAGCAGCGTCTGGAGGCTCAAGGACGCAGCGACGGTGTGGAGATGCTCTCAGCGGTCAGCAGAGACGTGGACGGCAGCAGCAGCAGCAGCGGAAGCGGCGGGTGCGGCAGCAGCATCATCAACAACAACAACGGCGTCCCTGAAATAATCACGGCCTCCCCTTCTGCATCCTGCGCCAAAGGCAAGGAAGAGAGGAAGGGGAAAAACGTGATACGGGGCTGGAAGAGGGAGAGAGACAGGGACAGGGACGCCGCTCCTCCTGCGGTCCGGACGCGGAAGGAGAAGCCCGGTGATGGCTCGTCTCCTCCTCCCTCCGTCTTCCTCCCGTCGCCCGCCCTGCCCGAGCATCATCTGTGCCGCGACGGCCCCGCACACTGCCTCTGCGCCGCGCAAGACTCCTCCAGGACCATGGGAGAGAACAGTAACGTAAACAATAGCAGCGTTCACGGGAGTAACGGCGGCGGAGCTGGCAACAAAAGCGCACTGGATTGTGGAGTTAAAAGCGGCGGCGGTGGTGCTATTGTTGTCAGGCGGCAGCATGACGACACGCCGGCGGCCAAGAAACACAGAGGAGCCGAGAAGGTAAGCTGCGTTTATTGTCTGGAGGCAAATACAGAAACACACAACAACAAGAAAATACCACGGAGAGCAGCTGAGAGCACACACCTGCAGCATCTCCATCTTTACTGTAAACGTGGTCATGCGTAATTCTTTCATTCAAGGGGAAAAGAAAAGGAGGGAAATGAAGAATTTTTTTGATATTCAGAGCACACACAGGCAGTGAAGATGCAGGTGTGAAGGCCACAAAGAGCCTGTACAGCACACACACACACACACACACACACACACTCACACACACACACACACAGAGCAGGAATGTTTAAATGGAGGGATGACCGCCTGCCACATGATATTTATTTCCTTTTGTTGTTGCCCAGCTGGTGTCATTGTTCCCAGCCTCACTGTCTGTCTGCTGATATTTACCATGCTGATGTACTGAGATTTTTCCTTTTGGAGAGGAGATGAAGAGGAGGAGAAGGAGGAGGAGGAGGAGGAGGAGGGAGGGAGGGGAGCAGCAGCAGCGTGTCCTCCATCCTCCTCCTTTCAGAGCCTTTTAATCCAGACATTTATGTTTCGAAACTATTTACATTAACATGTGAGCCTTCAAATCTTCCATTTTGTGGCATCTGCACGTGCTTTGTTTGCTCTTTTAATTTGGGGGGAAAACACCCCTGATGACCAAATTCTGCAGGTGTTGGACTGTGCATCCAAACCCTTTCTAAATAAGACTTGAATCCTGCAGGTTGACAGCTCGGAATGAGACGATCTGAGCTCTATAGTTTCTAATCATTTAAGGGCGACTTGTGAAAATCATTTTTGAGTTTTAATAAATGATCTGCAGGAGAGTCAAAGATGGAGGCAGATGGAGGGACGGTTTGAGAGGTGAAATGGGGAAAGAGATGTTTGATAGCGAGGGAAGAATTGGACGTGACAGCAGACGGAGAACGCAGGCTGAAGAGTCTGACAGGCACAGGAGAAAAAAAGAAACAGATGGAGTCGGTCCAGGAGGAGTCTTTTCTTTTTTTGGCGATTTTTTTATTTTTTTTTGCCGGATAACATGAAGCAGGAAAATGCGAGGCGAGGCGTTCGTCCCGCTGCTGGCAGATGCTGCTGACAGGAGGAACGCTGGCCTGCCCTGGCTGCTTTGTTTATTTGTTGATCTGAAGGATTCCCATTCGGCTGTGAAACACACACACTCACACACACACTCACCCTGAGCTCTGTGGTGACTGTAATTCATTCCCTGTCAACAGTAATCTGGACTCCACTGAAGAGTTTTAGTGTCCTGTGATGGTCGCAGTGGAGCACCTTATAACACAAATTAATTTAGGCATTAAGACAAACACATTTCAAGATTATCAAGTGAACGTTTGTTAACTGGAGATGGTTTTGATCATTGTGCATTTCTCAGAGTCACCTGACCTGATCAGGCGTGGATCATTTCAGTCTAATTCTTACTCTTCTACTCTCTTCACACTTAGTTTTAAATCCATCTTTTGTAACTGTTAAAAGATGGACACAGCTTGCCAAGCTGGTCTGGGACGCATTTAGGGCGGCTGTGGCTCAGTGGATCGTCTCTTAAAACGGAAGGTCCGGGCTTCGATCCCCAGCTCCTGCAGCAACATGTCCGATGTGTCCTCGGGCGAGACGCTGAAGCTCCCGCTGCTTTGTTGGCGGCGTATAAATGTTTATGAATGGGATTAGTTACTTCTGATAGTCTCACTACGTAGCAGCCTCGACCATCAGGGTGAGAATGTGTAGGTGTGACCTGCAGTGTAAAAGCACTTTGAGTAGTCAGACGACTAATAAAGAAATCTACAAGCTCAAGTCCATTCATCATTTATCATTTGATGACAACTTTTCTAGCGTAAACGTCAACCAAGGCCGTCCAAAAGGGGAGAAAAATCAAACCTTTCTGGGGCTCAGTGGCATCACAGGGCTGGTTAAGGTCTGGCAAAACATTGTCCATCCTAAATTTAAGAAATTTTAAAAACTCCATAAAAGTCAGGATGCCAGAAAAATAAGACAGCTAGGGCATTTAACCCCAACAAAGAACTTGCTGACAAGCTTTTTTTTTTAAGTCATCTCCAAAAGCTGATCTGAGCCAGGCTGAGGAGGCGAATGTTAGCTAGGATCATCGCTTGAAAATAACATGTTGATGTTCTGGAGTCACTGAAGGAGCTTATCAAGACAGTTTAGGAGAATGTGTAGGAAGAAAGTTAATTTACTGTTTATAAGAACCTTTTGATCCAAACTGTGACCTTTAATCTGATACGTCCATTTTTGCACAACAGGGTCCTGAAGATTGTCCTTCAGTTGAAATGTCAGGACTAGATTACGACCAGCAAAGTGACAACACGTCATCCTGAGAGGATCATGAATGTGTACGCTGAATGTTGTTCTCATCCCCTGGCTTTCAGAGAATATGGACCTGAAACTAGAAGTGAGAACCTCATGGTGGAGCTCGAGGAAAAAGTCAGAGGATCACTAAAGTCATTTGGATTCATGTCAGAAACGATTTCCATATCGATGAGTGTTTAAGCGAGATACAGTATTTGGCCAAATTAACCAACTAAAGCTTCCGTATCTGATGTTAAAAAAGTCCAACTCAAAGGATGAGAACCTGAAATAACTGCTGAAACGATGGATCGACATTTTAGAATCCGATCCGGGCTTGTTGACAGAACTGAAAGCAGTTGAGCGTCTGCTGAATCTCAGACTGTCATCTGCATGACAACGACTTTTACTGGAGTTAGACTGTGAATGACAGCGGCTGCTCTGCTGCTGTCACTTCCTGTCTGTCAGCGCGGATCCCTGCAGGCTGCACGACGGCCGACCGACCGGACAACAGACACCCTCTGGTTTCATGGGTTTATCATGAATTCTGATGAACACCAACAAGCCCGTCAATATCCAGACCTCTCTCACTAACTCATGAGTGTTTTCATTTATTTTTTTTTGCATACATGAATCCCTTCTTCTGTTTGCTGAGATCCGGGCTGTCAAGTGATCTGAGATGTAGTCTGTGAAAGCTGCACGTTGCAGGTCGTCCCGTTACACGGTGGTGGGTTTTAACAGGCTTGCTCTCAGACTCTGTTTCCATGGCGACGTTGGCGGTGTGTTGTTTATTCAGGTAAAATTGTGGTCGTGGTGTGATGTCGCATGTAAACAGTTGATTCAGAGCGTCAGGACGGAGAGATTGGTCAGGAGAGGTGCATGAAGGGAAACACAAAAGTCCAGTTAATGTGATTTTTCTTCAGCTTTCAGGTCAAAATAATGAAGAGTCTAGTAAACTTTACTCGGGGGGGGGGGGGGGACAAAGCTGTCACAGAGTGAACTCAGGTGAGTCTCTTCTCTGGATATGAGTTCATTCTGTTTTTCACCTTTTAGTCTTTTCGACTCAACAAGGGTCCTCAAACCGTCCGCCTGTAAATGATGAGACTGTGGAGCAGCTGTGATAGTTTCATGCACCTTCCACACATTTACAAAGTGTTCATGATGAAGAGGAAAGGAACAAAATATGAATGAAGCCTCGCAATCAAACATGAAAGTGTGACAAAGGCAGAAGCAACTGTTTTAGCTTAAACGATTCCTAAATTTGATTCAGTTCAATTCTGAAAAAATGCTGACGGACAAATGAACATAAAAATGAAATGTAACCTCACGTTTTATGTTTAAAATACTTATTAACCCTGTGGTGATCACTGACAGGAGTAAAGAGATGTCTGTCCTGTTTTTATTCTGCATGTTATCAACAGGAAAAGGTCACCTGTCCTGAGCAGGACGCGTCCTGTCGGCACATGAGGCTGATAATCATCAGCGGCGCTCTGATGTTGTTTATTCTTTCATTTTCTGAGAAGATTGGCAGCGGCGAGCGTCCGTCTGCGCGGCCAGACAGTTATCTAACAGCCAGCCGCTCTGACGTCTTTCCAAAACACGGAGCTCGCATTTTAAAGGCACAAAATGTCTGACTCCACACTCTGCATGTGGATTTCTAAACACCAGCAGGGATGTGACTCATGTCTGCTGAGACGTCAGCTTTGACATGTGCAAACACATTTAGAGCACAAAGTCACATACACAGGGAGTGATATGATGTAAAAGTCTGAATCTCTGTGAAGAACAACGGGTCCAGACATTCAGAGCAGACAAATCTGAATGAAGATGAGAGGAGGCGGACGGCCCTGTGTGGAAAAATGGGTTCTGTTTGTAGCTGCTTCAGTCATTACAATCAGACAGGTGCATTAGCTCAGCGGGCGTCTCGGTGCATGCACTCAGAGAAAAACAAGAAAATTGAACCAGCTTTATCTTTTCTTATGAAGCCGTGAAGCCTAAATTCCACCAGATGCGTGTTCGGTCCGTCGGAGCTGATAGGTTTTCACATTCTTCAGTGTGTGTTCTTCCACTCGCTCTGCTGTGCTGCGTCTCGGCTCCGTCAGTCCAGAGCTCTCTGTAACAGATATGAAAAGCTTCTATTTTTGCCCGATGCCGGAGCATCCATTTAGCGCAGAAACGCTCGAGCTGGACAGGAAGTCAGACACCGATTAAAACATGTTTATTTTCAGAATAAAACACTCCATTTTGACGGTTCAGAACAATGACCTTATGTATGTTTGTTGTTGTGTTTTTAAATGGTTTTATACCACATACATCATATTATCTCACGCTGTCGCGATTGAATTTCAAAATTACAGCGGGAATTCCTTTGTCTCAACACTTCAGCTGTGCAGTGAGAACACAGCCGGTGGTTATTGACGGACGAGGGTGCAAGGAGCCAAGCCATCTCCAAGCAGGATCTTTACATTGTTACAGACTGTTAATAAGAAGAGGAAACCGAGACATCTCTCACCGGTTTATAAAATTCTGAAAAGAAGCTTTGACTTCTGCTTTTTGGCTGTCGCCATCATCATTCTCAGAGTCAGAAGTTCCACATTTGGAGAGGATCAAAGGTAGCATGGACCAAATAATCATGAGTCCTATAATCTATTTGTCTCTAAATGTGACCATAAATTACACCATGA